GACAAGTGGATCTGTCATTCAAACCCATGACAAGTGGATCCTTATTCAAACCCATGACAAGTGGATCCTTCTTCAAACCAATGACAAGTGGATCCTTCATTCTAACCCATGACGAGTGGATCCTTCATTCAAACCCATGACGAGTGGATCCTTCATTCAAACCCATGACGAGTGGATCCTTCATTCAAACCCATGACGAGTGGATCCTTCATTCAAACCCATGACGAGTGGATCTTCATTTAAAGCCACAATGGATGGATCCTTCATTCAAAGCCACGAGTAGATCCTTCCTTCAAACCCATGACGAGTGGATCCTTCATTCAAACCCATGACGAGTGGATCTTCATTTAAAGCCACAATGAATGGATCCTTCATTCAAAGCCACGAGTAGATCCTTCATTCAAACCCATGACGAGTGGATCCTTCATTCAAACCCATGACGAGTGGATCCTTCATTCAAACCCATGACGAGTTGATCCTTCATTTAAACCCATGACGAGTGGATTCTTCATTCAAACCCATGACAAGTGGATCCTTCTTCAAACCCATGACAAGTGGATCCTTCATTCAAACCCATGACAAGTGGATCCTTCATTCAAACCCATGACGAGTGGATCCTTCATTCAAACCCATGACGAGTGGATCCTTCATTCAAACCCATGACGAGTGGATCTTCATTTAAAAGCCACAATGGATGGATCCTTCATTCAAAGCCACGAGTAGATCCTTCCTTCAAACCCATGACGAGTGGATCCTTCATTCAAACCCATGACGAGTGGATCTTCATTTAAAGCCACAATGAATGGATCCTTCATTCAAAGCCACGAGTAGATCCTTCCTTCAAACCCATGACGAGTGGATCCTTCATTCAAACCCATGACGAGTGGATCCTTCATTCAAACCCATGACGAGTTGATCCTTCATTTAAACCCATGACGAGTGGATTCTTCATTCAAACCCATGACAAGTGGATCCTTCTTCAAACCCATGACGAGTGGATCCTTCATTCAAACCCATGACAAGTGGATCCTTCATTCAAACCCATGACGAGTGGATCCTTCATTCAAACCCATGACGAGTGGATCCTTCATTCAAACCCATGACGAGTGGATCTTCATTTAAAAGCCACAATGGATGGATCCTTCATTCAAAGCCACGAGTAGATCCTTCCTTCAAACCCATGACGAGTGGATCCTTCATTCAAACCTATGACAAGTGGATCCTTCATTCAAACCCATGACGAGTTGATCCTTCATTTAAACCCATGACGAGTGGATTCTTCATTCAAACCCATGACAAGTGGATCCTTCTTCAAACCCATGACAAGTGGATCCTTCATTCAAACCCATGACAAGTGGATCCTTCATTCAAACCCATGACAAGTAGATCCCTCATTCAAACCCATAACAAGTGGATCCTTCATTCAAACCCATAGCAAGTGGATCCTTCATGCAAACCCATGACAAGTGGATCCTTCATTCAAACCCAAGACAAGTGGATCTTTCATTCAAACCCATGATGAGTGGATCCTTCATTCAAACTCATGACAAGTAGATCTTTGATTCAAACCCATGACGAGTGGATCCTTCATTCAAACCCATGACAAGTGGATCTTTCATTCAAACCCAAGACAAGTGGATCTTTCATTCAAACCCATGACGAGTGGATCCTTCATTCAAACTCATGACAAGTAGATCCTTCATTCAAACCCATGACGAGTGGATCCTTCATTCAAACCCATGACAAGTAGATCCTTCATTCAAACCCATGACAAGTAGATCCTTCATTCAAACCCATAACAAGTGGATCCTTCATTCAAACCCATGACAAGTGGATCCTTCATTCAAACCAATGACAATTGGATCCTTATTCAAACCCATGACAAGTAGATCTTTCATTCAAACCCATAACGAGTGGATCCTTCATTCAAACCAATGACAAGTGGATCCTTGATTCGAACCCATGACAAGTGGATCTTTCATTCAAACCCATAACAAGTGGATCCTTCATTCAAACTAATGACAAATAGATCCTTCATTCAAACCAATGACAAGTGGATCCTTCATTAAAACCCATGACGAGTGGATCCTTCATTCAAACCCATAACAAGTGGATCCTTCATTCAAACCCATGACAAGTGGATCCTTCATGCAAACCCATGACAAGTGGATCCTTCATTCAAACCCAAGACAAGTGGATCTTTCATTCAAACCCATGACGAGTGGATCCTTCATTCACACTCATGACAAGTAGATCCTTCATTCAAACCCATGACGAGTGGATCCTTTATTCAAACCTATGACAAGTGGATCCTTCATTCAAACCAATGACGAGTGGATCCTTCATTCAACCCCATGACAAGTAGATCCTTCATTCAAACCCATGACAAGTAGATCCTTCATTCAAACCCATAACAAGTGGATCCTTCATTCAAACCCATGACAAGTGGATCCTTCATTCAAACCCATGACAAGTGGATCCTTATTCAAACCCATGACAAGTAGATCTTTCATTCAAACCCATAACGAGTGGATCCTTCATGCAAAACCATGACAAGTGGATCCTTCATTCAAACCCAAGACAAGTGGATCCTTCATTCAAACCCATAACAAGTGGATCCTTCATTCAAACCCAAGACAAGTGGATCCTTCATTCAAACCCATGACAAGTGGATCCTTCATTCAAACCCATGACAAGTGGATCCTTCATTCAAACTCATGACAAGTGGATCTTTCAATCAAACCCATGACAAGTGGATCCTTCATTCAAACCCATGACAAGTGGATCCTTCATTCAAACTCATGACAAGTGGATCCTTCATTCAAACTCATGACAAGTGGATCTTTCAATCAAACCCATGACAAGTGGATCCTTCATTCAAACCCATGACGAGTGGATCCTTCATTCAAATCCATGACAAGTGGATCCTTTATTCAAACCCATGATGAGTGGATCTTTCATTCAACCCCATGACAAGTAGATCCTTCATTCAAACCCATGGGAAGTGGATCCTTCATTCAAACTCATGACAAGTAGATCCTTCATTCAAACTCATGACAAGTGGATCTTTCATTCAAACTCATGACAAGTGGATCCTCCGTTCAAACCCATGACAAGTAGATCTTTCATTCAAACTCATGACAAGTTGATCCTTCATTCAAACCCATGACAAGTGGATCCTTCATTCAAACTCATGACAAGTGGATCTTTCATTCAAACTCATGACAAGTGGATCCTCCATTCAAACTCATGACAAGTACATCCTTCATTCAAACCCATAACAAGTGGATCCTTCATTCAAACCCATGACAAGTGGATCCTTCATGCAAACCCATGACAAGTGGATCCTTCATTCAAACCCAAGACAAGTGGATCTTTCATTCAAACCCATGACGAGTGGATCCTTCATTCACACTCATGACAAGTAGATCCTTCATTCAAACCCATGACGAGTGGATCCTTTATTCAAACCTATGACAAGTGGATCCTTCATTCAAACCAATGACGAGTGGATCCTTCATTCAACCCCATGACAAGTAGATCCTTCATTCAAACCCATGACAAGTAGATCCTTCATTCAAACCCATAACAAGTGGATCCTTCATTCAAACCCATGACAAGTGGATCCTTCATTCAAACCCATGACAAGTGGATCCTTATTCAAACCCATGACAAGTAGATCTTTCATTCAAACCCATAACGAGTGGATCCTTCATGCAAAACCATGACAAGTGGATCCTTGATTCAAACCCAAGACAAGTGGATCCTTCATTCAAACCCATAACAAGTGGATCCTTCATTCAAACCCAAGACAAGTGGATCCTTCATTCAAACCCATGACAAGTGGATCCTTCATTCAAACCCATGACAAGTGGATCCTTCATTCAAACTCATGACAAGTGGATCTTTCAATCAAACCCATGACAAGTGGATCCTTCATTCAAACCCATGACAAGTGGATCCTTCATTCAAACTCATGACAAGTGGATCCTTCATTCAAACCCATGGGAAGTGGATCCTTCATTCAAACTCATGACAAGTGGATCCTTCATTCAAACCCATGACAAGTGGATCCTTCATTCAAACTCATGACAAGTGGATCTTTCATTCAAACTCATGACAAGTGGATCCTCCATTCAAACTGATGACAAGTACATCCTTCATTCAAACCCATGACAAGTGGTTCTTTCATTCAAACCCATGACGAGTGGATCTTTCATTCAAACCCATGACAAGTGGATCCTTCATTCAAACCCATGACGAGTGGATCTTTCATTCAAACCCATGACAAGTGGATCCTTCATTCAAACCCATGACGAGTGGATCCTTATTCAAACCCATGACGAGTGGATCCTTCATTCAAACCCATGACAAGTAGATCCTTCATTCAAACCCATGACAAGTGGATCTGTCATTCAAACCCATGACGAGTGGATCCTTCATTCAAACCCGTGACGAATGGATCTTCATTCAAAGCCACGAGTAGATCCTTCATTCAAACCCATGACGAGAGGATCCTTCATTCAAACCCATGACAAGTCGATCTTTCATTCAAACCCATGACGAGTGGATCCTTCATTCAAACCCATGACGAGTGGATCCTTCATTCAAACCCATGACGAGTGGATCTTCATTTAAAGCCACAATGAATGGATCCTTCATTCAAAGCCACGAGTAGATGCTTCCTTTAAACCCATGACGAGTGGATGCGATGATGCCCAAGGTGTAACCAATGAAAGTCTCAAACGGTTGCGTGGTTGACTGCAGTTGGCTGCAGTTGGCAATATCCCAGCCACACGAGGGCAGGGGACACATGGGTTTCACACCCTCTCCTCATATGGGCAATCAAACCTCGGTAGCTCCATGAGCAAAATCCAGATATTCATCCATCCCTTGTTAAAGTGAGTTAAAACAAAATCACGGCTAAAACAACACAATCCCAATATCCAGACTGCCAATGTCAAGGTTCTCCATCTCTTGAAATAGACACGAAATACAAGTTATTTTTACAAACTTTTTATTCTTTATACTCAGTTGCCAATGTGGCTGCCCCTGCGATGGGGGACACGATGACCATAGTTATACATCCCTATACTGTACATCTTAAAGTGATTAGCTACATCAGGCCTATCACAGCCACCCAGTCCCACCCCCCAGGCCGACCACTCCCATGCTAATAATGCTCAACACTGCCCTATTCCCGGTCCAGGGACCATTGATATAAATTAACAAAGCTGTATACAGGGTAGGGGCCTTCCTGGGGGCCCAGGACAGGAATACACATATTTATACTCATATATAGTTTTTATTCAATTCACCTGACTTGGGTAATATTACTTTGCGATTCTGTCATGACATTTGGTTTCAGCAGCATATAATGCATTCTAGGTGGGATTGGATTAAATTTGAAATCTTTTATGATAATCTCAAGATTTGATACCTGGGTAGAGACCTTATTCAAAAATTCATTTACTGGTTAGTTTCATGATAATACTGAAATGAATGACTGCAAACGGTTGATGTAAACCAAATGTACTGACAGTGCTATCCCCCTTAACACAATCTGGACAAATCTTAAAGGACATACAGCCCATCTCAGTAGTCAAGGCTGTTGTCCATTATGATTTAAACTGACCGTCACACATTTGGGGGAGGGAGAGACAAACATGAATGTTATTTGTGTCTGCTGTATTTCATGAGGTTTATCCATAAATGCACGAAGGATGGATTTCATTTGATCCAAACAGAAATAATAATAATAATAATTTATTTTGGAATTAACATTTTTTGAAATGTTAATTATTTTGTTTCATATTGAATAAAAACATTAAAGATTGCATAAACATTGGAAAAATAAGAAACTGGAGGTATTTTGAGGGTAAAATTGACGACTTTGTCTTTGTAATAACAACAAAGTGAACGGGGCCATATGTCTGTCCAAGGACAGGCAGAGATAGGTAGATATCTTTGGTTGAAGCTTGACGCAGTCCGCTGAAGTAGACGTTTATTATACTCTCAAACCATTCATTCAAATCTCTCAGTCATACATTACAAGGGCATAATTTCATCTAATGAAACATACACAATGTCCTGATAAAGATTGCTTCCCACCCCAAAATATCTTCATCATTATTTACAAAGGCTAAAAAAGTGTAAAATAGGATTTCATGGATTTGTAACTGTGTAGATTATTGAACAACTTTTGTTAACAAATATCTCAATGTATCTTACAGACTTTTCTACAATACAAAAGAGTATACTACGAGTATTTCAAGGGAGAATTCTCTTGGAGATTCCCCAAGAAATTATGCATTGCTTTCAGAGAGGTAAAAGGATAATGCCCTTCAATAATGATAGTGGGCACATCGTTTTTGCAAATCAGAAACAAAAGTAACCATTTTAAAAATATATATATAAATATATGAATATTTTAGTAAATTATACACCAAATGTCTTTAAAATAGGAGAAAATAGCTGCAATACTACTTACTATAGATACTGGCCTTGACAATCCCATTATATATGATTATAATTTCCAGAACACTATAAAAAAATAATTAAATATTAACTACTGGCTTTTTTCATGTTTATGTTCCTTGTCATAAAGAAACTTACATCTTTAATACTATTAACTCATTTTTCAACTTTTTGCAAAAAGATGTGCCCGAGTATATATTCAAAGGCGAGTGCTGTCAAAGCCTCACCAGTTTGCAATATACATAAACAAATAACAAATGAATCAACAATGTCATCTTGCCTTTTGTCCGTGTAGATTCGTTCATTGCGAAACGGACAATTTACGAGGTTGAAAATTTACATCAATACTTTGTACAAGGTTTTCATAACAATATCACTATACATGTTCTACATACAATATTTTACAAATAACACAAACATCCATCTTCGCCATGACAACCAGAGAACGAGTCATGTGACCAGCATAAACAAGGGAGATAACTCCTTCTCTGGCTGCATACGAAAAATGTCCATGTTTTGGGTTCATAAATAAATAAGGTAGTTTTGGTGAATGACAATCTTACTGACTAACATTGTATCTAGACCCTGGATAGTTGACGTCGAACTTCGTCAATAAGTTCTCTGTGTGCAGATCTCTGCCCTTTAGGCAAAGAAGGTACCCGTAAAAACACCAAACTAGCATGAAAGTTTCCACCTGTTCATCATTGAGCACTGCCATCAACCTGCTGGCACTATCTGCCATTGCATAACTGGCCACAATGCTCACCATGTCTGTCACTATACGTCCATATCCATTGGTTCGATTCCTGAATTTGAAGTTTGACATTGAAGTTAGGTCTTTGGGCTCATAATCAGTTTTAAAACTGCATTAAAAAAAATATCACATTTGTAGATATGAGATGCACCTTTGGCATAAAAGTCACTGTCTTTGAGTAATCCAAGTGCACTCCTCCCCCGTAACTCCAGCACTTGCATATTGCAACCCGTTTCCACACTTTGCCCTTCCTCCAAGCTAGGTCTGGGCAACAACAAGCGTCAATGGCACGCTCATTTCACGTATGTTTCACATGCACATCTTCATTTAATTAGCATGTGAATGTTCATACAAAGTTCACGTAATTTCACAACTTTCACGTCCACTCCATCTTCCCACTTCTCCTGAGAAATTAGTTAAAGTATCGCAGTGAATGTGAGTGGACAAGTGCAAGGGTCCAGTGACCAAACACTGATCGGCCGACGCCCACTTAGCTGCCATCCAGGACTGCCAAGAAAGCATAAGCCACTTCCAGAGAGTTGACAACTGAAGGCTGTCACTTGCTTGGTCTGTCCATTTCTTCCTGTGTGTATCCTAATACAGTCACAGAAATAGCACCATTGCCACACAGGATCACACTTCTGAAACACAAAGAAACACGTTTTTTACATTTAAATACTTTGAAGGTTTCAGAAGCATCAAATTAATACACATTTGAAAGTAATACATGAACAGGTTTAATAACCATGGATATCAACATGAACAGGATTAATGGTTCAATAACTGTATATACCAACCATGAACAGGTTCAATGGTTCAATAACTGTATATACCAACCATGAACTGGTTCAATGGTTCAATAACTGTATATACCAACAATGAACTGGTTTAATGGTTCAATAACTGTATATACCAACCATGAACAGGTTCAATGGTTCAATAACTGTATATACCAACCATGAACAGGTTTGATGGTTCAATAACTGTATATACCAACCATGAACTGGTTTAATGGTTCAATAACTGTATATACCAACCATGAACTGGTTCAATGGTTCAATAACTGTATATACCAACCATGAACTGGTTCAATGGTTCAATAACTGTATATACCAACCATGAACTGGTTTAATGGTTCAATAACTGTATATACCAACCATGAACAGGTTTGATGGTTCAATAACTGTATATACCAATGATGAATAGGTTCAATAACCATGGGTATCAAAATGAACAGGTTCAACATGCATGGCATGTAAGGGAAAACAGACGAGAAATGGTTTTGTATATCTGGAACATTTTGTACATTTACAACTAGTTACCTGGAACTAGACTAACAAGCAAGTAAAGTCTGACTTACTTGTAGTGATGTACTAGCACTTGCTTTCATCAGAGTCGGAGTTATTGGCAGTTTCAAGTTCTTTCAGCTTTCGCCTTTTGCTTTTGAAACTTCTTTCTTGGTCTACTGTTCCTGAAACACAATCATGGCAAATACGTCAATACAGCCATCAACAAAGTACTCAAAAGAAAGTTCTGGATTGTCTGGTCAAGACTCGATTATTTACAGACCGCTGTCATATAGCTGGAGTATTGCTGAGTGTGGCGTTAAACAACAAACAAACAAAACAAAAGAAAGTTCTGTCCCAGACTTGGCCTGACATTGTAGTTGAGTTCATAATGCATTGAATACTGGCATTATAATGAATCTGGCACCATAACAAGGGTGGTATAATAGTCAACATTTCAAGGAGTGGAATTGTGTTGTTTCTGTTTTTTAAAGTCTAGAAGAATAATTAAATTGGCACTTTAATGAGTCTGGCATTATAATGAGTCTGGGCACTTTAATGAGAGTTGTATACGAATCTTGCATTTTAGCAAACATGGCATTATGAGCCTTGCATTGAAACCATCATTGGACTGATATGGAGTGTGTAGCACTGTAGCAAGATTGGGATAGCGCTGCGCCTGGCTCTGTTGCAAGTCGGGAATTATAATGAGTTTTGTAGATTTACCTGGAAGAGGCGTGTGTACTTCTACTTTGACTGTGGCAGTAGCCTTGACCCTCGTCACATGTTTGGGTGGCGGAGTGGACGAGGCCGATGTGGGTGGGGAATTCTAGGGTAAGAGAAAGAAAAACATGTAAAATCCACATGGACAAGTTGAATGACATTGACTCACAATATACATATTTAGCAAGCCATCTGGTCAATGACACTGCTTTTACCAATCCTTCAGGATTAGCTCAGTGTAGGGAGGAAAGGTTAAACATGTTTACAACTTCATTCACACCAGTGACTACAGGTAAGGTGCTGACACACCAAAGATTACAAACATAATTTTGGAGTTAGATCCCCAAATCAGGCCACGGCACCCAGAACCGCAAATTGACACAAGAGCAGTATATTCAAATATCGAGATCCTGTTAACTTTAAAACGTTTAGGCTAGAATGAAAATTACACCCATTATGAAACTCACATTTCTACTGCCACTATTACTGTTTCCACCACTCGCTCCTTGTTGAATCATCGTCGTTTCCACGACAACCTCAGGTTGGACTATAATTTCATGGGAGGAGTATTGCGTGGGCTCCTCCGTAATGGTGCTGAGAGAAATATCAGAAGGCAGTCTGGGATAGACGCGACCTCGCTGTGATCGCAGTGGGCGATCTCGTGGTCTTGGAGACGGCTCGGGTGTTGGGGTAGCCAGGCGATCAGGATCATCCTTTGGTATCACCTGGAAAAGGAAATATCAACTTTAAATAACTGAGTAAATATCTATGAACCTGAATGGACTTCCACAGGAAATATACACACACAAGCATTTGAAGACCAACATTTTCCTTGTAACATAAATGAAACATGAATTCATAAAAGGGAAAGCTTGAACAGTGAGAGTTATCTCCCTTTGATCATTTTCACCTCCACAGTGAAGAGCAGTGGCTTGTGGTTGTTTGCGATATCTCCAGTGAAGAGTGAGTGAGTTGCGTTTTATGCAGCTTTTAACAATATTCTGGCAATAACACAACAGAGGACACCAGAAATGGGCCACCAGTGAAGAAGTTAAGTTAAATTGGCTTTATAGCTTTTAGAAATTGTCATAATGTCTCAAGGGCTGCAAAATTTACAAACATGGGATTCAAACCTGGGTGTTCTGCATGAAGGAACTCAGCACAGCAGTCACTGGTGTGGCCTGACTACATAATTCCACTCACCTCTCCCTTCGGCCCTAGGAAGGACAACAGGACTGGAAGAAGCAGCAATCCATTGAACATTCCAATCACAACCAGCGCTGCCAACACATTGAAGAAGTACCTGGAACCAACAAACACTTCTATTACCATTTTGAAAACAACTCACTTATTAATCTCTACGTCAACGACACATTTTCACACCCAGAATCACTGATGACACTGATGAATATTTCCATGCATATGTACTAACTTCCCTTTGACTGATGAACGTTGCTAAAGAGAGACACTGTCTGACTGTCTTGATGGCTATCTGTATTTATAAACAGTTGGCCATACCATATTAAAAAAAAAACACCAAGTGATAAACAACTCAAAAGAAGTTAAAGAGACACGATTGTTCCTATGACTATAGCAGGTCACTGACATGCCAGATTAACTATAGTCATATGAAACAACCCGTTCTTCTTCTTTTGAGTTGTATACATTAAACATGAAACTCAAAACTGGTTTTCTATTTCCTAGTAATTAGTCCAACACAAGAATCAGTAAATATAAGTCTCGATGTATACAGTGCTTGTGTACATGATAATGCAGCTACAACAAACTCAAAACTATCTTGGCTGCTTAAGCTAAGATAAGCATTTTGCTTATCTGCTTAAATTCTTTCATAAAAACTCTCTACAGGCCACAAAAACTTGCACCCTTCATTCCGATCAGGCTCATTCCACTTTCCTCATCACTGTTTGTATTAAACAATGCTAAAAGGGTTCTCTTAAACCATACAGAGGGGGTCCAAAAAACAACCATAGAAAACCTGTGAATGCACACAAACCTGAGGTCAGACATTCTGAACTTAGATCGCTAGCTTGTTTGTAATTTCTTCAACTTAAGCTGAAAGGTTCAATTAGTCGTACAGAAATAGTTTTAATTTTCTTTTCAGGTCTTGCAAAATTATTATCCAATCTGTCAAAAGTCAGTGAAATGTAGCAGACGAAATGACAAATAAACGGGGCCTCTTCTGTCCCCACAGGGGGGGTCCCTACCCTCAGCCAATGGCCCCGAGGCTTTACAGATTCCATTTGGCTAAAGGCTGAATTGCTGCAGGCAGCCCCCATGTGGGATGTGCATTTACCACATCAGTGAAGAATGGGCTCAAGGGGAAGTCACCCCTTGTGGGAAACAAAATTGGCTTTTTTTAAAAAACAATTTTATTCTGGAATCTAACTTTATGACATTAAAAATTAGTCAATTTGACAAAAAATCTCACTTTCTGAATGGATTTATCGGTTGTAAAGCATTTTTATATCATAAAAAGAGGAACAAATATGTCAAGATAAGGCAGCAGTGTTTGGAATGCCATCAAAGTCTCCAGTGTCACTCTCTCCATGAGGGGACTGTTATATTTATGTGGAGAGCTGTTTGTAGTAGCTCCGACATCCAATACAATCTCTCAGCTCATGGTTGTGAATCAGACAAGAAGACAGCAAACACCAACGATTATCATTTTGGTCGAAAATTTCCAATTATTTAGACATTCTCTTCTGCCAAAACTAGGGTAGGTTTAGAAACCTTTCAAAGCTGACCAGAGAATAGTACCAGTCTTGAGGATAGAACCCCACCTGGTCAAGTTTGGTAATGATAACAGTTCCCCATCCTCACTCACTTTCCCTTACCACCCCAGTTACCCCATACTGCCCACCCTGTCAAACTGTCTTCCCACCCTGTCAAACTCTCTCCCACCCCATACTGCCCACCCTGTCAAACTGTCTTCCCAACCCGTCAAACTCTCCCCCACCCCATACTGCCCACCCTGTCAAACTGTCTTCCCAACCCGTCAAACTCTCCCCCACCCCATACTGCCCACCCTGTCAAACTGTCTTCCCACCCTGTCAAACTGTCTTCCCACCCTGTCAAACTCTCCCCCACCCCATACTGCCCACCCTGTCAAACTGTCTTCCCACCCTGTCAAACTGTCTTCCCACCCTGTCAAACTCTCCCCCACCCCATACTGCCCACCCTGTCAAACTGTCTTCCCACCCCGTCAAACTCTCCCCCACCCCATACTGCCCACCCTGTCAAACTGTCTTCCCACCCCGTCAAACTCTCCCCCACCCCATACTGCCCACCCTGTCAAACTGTCTTCCCACCCCGTCAAACTCTCCCCCACCCCATCAAACTGTCTTCCCACCCCGTCAAACTCTCCCCCAACCCATACTGCCCACCCTGTCAAACTGTCTTCCCACCCTGTCAAACTCTCCCCCAACCCATACTGCCCACCCTGTCAAACTGTCTTCCCACCCTGTCAAACTGTCTTCCCACCCTGTCAAACTCTCCCCCACCCCATACTGCCCACCCTGTCAAACTGTCTTCCCACCCTGTCAAACTGTCTTCCCACCCTGTCAAACTCTCCCCCACCCCATACTGCCCACCCTGTCAAACTGTCTTCCCACCCCGTCAAACTCTCCCCCACCCCATACTGCCCACCCTGTCAAACTGTCTTCCCACCCCGTCAAACTCTCCCCCACCCCATACTGCCCACCCTGTCAAACTGTCTTCCCACCCCGTCAAACTCTCCCCCACCCCATCAAACTGTCTTCCCACCCCGTCAAACTCTCCCCCAACCCATACTGCCCACCCTGTCAAACTGTCTTCCCACCCTGTCAAACTCTCCCCCAACCCATACTGCCCACCCTGTCAAACTGTCTTCCCACCCTGTCAAACTCTCCCCCAACCCATACTGCCCACCCTGTCAAACTGTCTTCCCACCCTGTCAAACTCTCCCCCAACCCATACTGCCCACCCTGTCAAACTGTCTTCCCACCCTGTCAAACTCTCCCCCAACCCATACTGCCCACCCTGTCAAACTGTCTTCCCACCCCGTCAAACTCTCCCCCAACCCATACTGCCCACCCTGTCAAACTGTCTTCCCACCCTGTCAAACTCTCCCCCAACCCATACTGCCCACCCTGTCAAACTGTCTTCCCACCCTGTCAAACTCTCCCCCAACCCATACTGCCCACCCTGTCAAACTGTCTTCCCACCCTGTCAAACTCTCCCCCAACCCATACTGCCCACCCTGTCAAACTGTCCTCCCAACCCCCATACTGCCCACCCTGTCAAACTGTCCCCCACCCAATCAAACTGTCTTCCCACCCCGTCAAACTCTCCCCCACACCATACTGCCCACCCTGTCAAACTCTCCCCCACCCCGTATGCCCATCCTGTCAAACTCTCTCGCACCCCGTACTGCCCACCCCGTCAAACTCTCCCCCACCCCACACTGCCCACCCTGTCAAACTCTCCCCCACCCAATCAAAATGTCTTCCCACCCCGTCAAACTCTCCCCCACCCCGTACTGCCCACCCTCTCAAACTCACCCCCCAGCCTTACCCTCCCAACCCGCCTTACCTTACCCTCCCACCCAGTCCAGCCTTACTCTCCCACCCCATCCTGCTTCACATGCTCCCCCTCCCCAAACTCCCCGCAGCACTTGTACAAACAGCCCTGACAGTGAGGAGTTCCATCCAGCCTGGCCAGTAAACACAGCGGCCATATTTATTTAGAGAGAGTGGCATCTTATCAAGCTTGCCTGCAAGACCACACAGTCAGCCGGCATTAATATCCAAATGAATGCCAATTGCAAGAATCCCGCAACATCAGGCCTGGGCCTCTCGTCTTCCCTCACCCTGGGCCTCCGACTTGAAGGGGGACCCGACAAAAATAGACCTGGCACTTTGCCTTTGTAATATGTTCTTCTCCCTCTCCCAGCTAGGGAGGAGACTGGAGCGACTGCCTACTGACAAATTGAACAGTTCACCTCTGGGAAGCCTCGTCAGAGGGAACATCCAGCGATGTCCCAATCACGACTTTTTTCATCTTTTAACAAGCATTGGCAGAGTCAAGTCTTTCCCTTTTCAAAACTTTAATCTCCCTACACCTTACTCTTCCCAGAAACATTGCCTGTATGACTTCACTGTGGCTTAGTGAATTAGATTCTGAACACAGTAACGATAAGAGTGAGCAATGAATACTGGACAATATTGGCACACACATGGGAGTCTGGTACACGCAGTACACAGAGGGTGCCTGGAGGTGGGTGGTTGGTGGTGCCTGGTAGTGGGTGGCGGAGCCTGGTAGTGGGTGGCGGAGCCTGGTGGTGGGTACCTGGTGGTTGGTGTTGCCTGGTGTTGGTGGGTGGGACGTGCCTGGTAGTGGGTGGTGGAGGGTACCTGGTGGTGGAGGGTACTTGGTGGTGGGTGGTGGAGGGTACTTGGTGGTGGGTGGTGGAGGGTACTTGGTGGTGGGTGGTGGAGGGTACTTGGTGGTGGGTGGGTGGTAGAGCATGGTAGTGGTGGGCAGTGCCTGGTGGTGGTGGGCGGTGCCTGGTGGTGGTGGGCGGTGCCTGGTGGGCGGTGCCTGGTGGTGGTGATGGGTGGTGCCTGCTGGTGGTGGGTGCCTGGGGTTTTGGTGGTGCCTGGTGGTGGGTGGTGCCTGGTGCCTGGTGGTGGTGGGCGGTGCCTGGTGGTGATGGGTGGTGCCTGCTGGTGGTGGGTGCCTGGGGTTTTGGTGGTGCCTGGTGGTGGGTGGTGCCTGGTGGTGGTGGGCGGTGCCTGGTGGTGATGGGTGGTGCCTGCTGGTGGTGGGTGCCTGGGGTTTTGGTGGTGCCTGGTGGTGGGTGGTGCCTGGTGGTGGGTAGTGCCTGGGTGGTGGAGCATGGTGGTGGGCGGTGCCTGGTGGGTGGTGGGTGGTAGAGGGTGCCTGGTGCCTGGTGATGGGTGGTGGGAGGTTGCCTGGGGTTGGGTTGCAGAGGGTGCCTGGTGGTGGGTGGTGTCTGGTGATGGGTGGGTTGTGGTGGAAGTTGCCCGGGGTTGGGTGGTAGAGGGTGCCTGGTGGTGGGTGGTGCCTGGTGGTGGGTGGTGCCTGGTGGTGGGAGGTTGCCTGGGGTTGGGTGGCAGAGGTTGCCTGGTGATGGGTGGTGCCTGGTGGTGGGTGGTGGGAGGTTGCCTGGGGTTTGGTGGTAGAGGGTGCCTGGTGGTGGGTGGTGCCTGGTGGTGGGTGGTGGGAGGTTGCCTGGGGTTGGGTGGCAGAGGGTGCCTGGTGGTGGGTGGTGGGAGGTTGCCT